ACCTTGTATAAATTTTCTAAGATTCTCCTCACCACCATTTTCTCCACATATTTCATTTTGAAATAATTTTACTATTACATTATTAAAAATTCTCTTAAATGGAACCAATAGATCCAGTCTAATACACTATGTTCAGAGTTGTATTTATAAAGACATAGAAAAATTTTAAACAAGTTACTCCTGTTGAATTCTAAATGGTAAGATATTTAAACATGTAGATCATAACCTCCTACTACCAGGAACCAATCTGTTAATCAAGATACAGAAAAGTTAAAAAGAAAATTGGTTCAGTTGTCTAACCTGCGGTAATTATGGTGTAGCATCAACTATTTAAAGTCCTTCAATGCTTCTCTACATTTATTTGTTTAAAACATATGTCTTACTGTCATGTGAGACATACTAGTGCAATCATTTATGTTTATCCCTGTTAAGCTATATGCTAGATCAAAAGCACAGTCATGTTATATGTCTACTCCCTCAAATGAATGCTAAGGGAAAAAGTCAATCCTACTCTTCAAATGATTTGAATCACAACTCAGAGTTTAATTCATGAGACTATCAATCAAACAAGTTGGTTGACTGACTCTGCTATTGGTTACTGTGCCCTTTTATTCATAATTCCATAGTATTATCATTTTAATGAGCACTAAGACAACAATTTCTGTAATATACATAGCAATATTTAAAAAATGAATTTTAGGAAAGTTTTGTTGTGTTATTATTACTGAAGAAACAGTGGTGTTGCAAACAGAAATAGAACCTTCAAGAAAGGGTATTTTTTTCCTGTGATGTATAATGTCTGTTTTTTTCCCCTCCTAGGCTACCGATAAAGATACTGGCAATTATAGTGCCATCGCGTACAGGCTCATAATACCACCAATCAAAGAGGGAAAAGAAGGATTTGTGGTGGAAACATACACAGGGCTTATCAAAACTGCTATGCTCTTCCATAATATGAGGAGATCCTACTTCAAGTTTCAAGTTATCGCAACTGATGACTATGGGAAGGGACTGACTGGAAAAGCAGATGTACTTGTAAGTAGATAAAAATCAGATAAAGTAGGTATATGCAATATTAGCCAGTGGATGGTGTTTGAACTTATAGTACTTTTAAGAATAATTTAAAACAGGTTTTCTAAAACATGAATGCCATTAACCTTCATCCAGATTTTTAACATTCAGCCTTTTGTAACTAAGAAAAGAAAAGAAGATATTTCATAAGCATTTACCTTCTGATAGAAGTGATTTACTTGTTTTATTCAAATACTAATTGATGGCATTGATGATCCTTGACTAAGTTTTATTCTGCTAGAGTTAGGAATATCATTTTTCTCTTCTGATTTTCTCTTAGGCCTCTGCACAAGTGATAAATCAATTTCAGTGATAAATCATTCCCAAGTGCAGTTTGGTACAGTATTAACTCTTATTTGTAATATTTAACACAAATTCATATATCCGGTCGAATCTCTACAACCTTAGAAATGCACATCATATGGACTTTTCTCTGATAAATCTGATAGGATTATATTGGAAATATGTGTCACATAAAGACAGAGTGACATATAAATTTTCTATTGTTCTTCTCATGTGCCTCTCTCGCAATTTTCCTCATAAGTTTTCTGGAGGTTTAACTTTTATATATACAGGGAAATGTCAAGGATCACTATTTTTTCTACATAATTGTGAAGAACAGTCAAGTAATTATGGATATTAAAGTCAGTACCATCCTACAGTAACGTTCACCTTGTAACAATAAAGCTGCAATACAAGAAACAAAGGCCCACATAAGCCAAGAAATTTTGATATAGAAGATATTAAGATTGACAAAAAGTTTTGATCAAATTAAAATCAATAAACCTCATATGAGATAATGTTGTCATGTCTCTTGTTATTAGGTAAGACATGAACATTGTAGAGTTTAAAGTCTAAACAATAAACTCAGTATACTAAGTGTCACATCTGACACCCAAAGTAAAGGAGGAAAGGTTTGTTCTAGCTCAGTTTGTGGAAGTTTCAGTCTATAGTTAGCTGGATCTGAGGCAGGACAGTGTAGCAGGGTAGGCAGGAAGCACCAAAGTGAAGCAGCAAGCCTGGTTTCTTCCTTTCTCTTTATACTCCATCTAGGCTACTAGCATATTTATTGGTACCACCCACACCCAGGTTGGAGCTTTCATTATCCACATCCACACCCGGAACCATGCTAAACCAATTTAGTTATCACACACCCTTAATCCATGTTTACACACTCTAGATCTAGCCACCTGTAAAAATCCCCAACTGTGAGTACATAAAGCTTTGGGGGACATCTACATACAAGATATAACACTAAGCATAATTAAAATATTACAACACAAAACACAAATAGAATATACATGATAAGAATATAATACATGTACATAAATACACAAAATATGTACAAATGCAAAATGAAATTTGTATTTTTATTTAATTTGGGCTTCATAAGTGTTGGGTGGAATTTTTAAGAATATATCCTTGAAATCATCTAAAATATATTTGTGAACCAAAAATTTAATTCAAAGAAATCATAATGTGTCATATTTATGAATAAATGTATTATATTCTGATACAAACTCAGAGCATCAGGGAAGCCATTTCAGCAAAATGATATGATGAAAATCCAAAATCCATTAAGAGAAGAGAGATGAAGAGAAATAACTTTTATGCAGAGGCTACAATACATGCCAAAACCAAGAAGGAAGAGAGATCATGGAGAGTTCGAATAAGTCACAGAATTTTATTTACTCAGCTTAGACCAGTGTGAATAGGGCTGATGATAGAAGTAGGTGCTCCATATAAAAGGGGAAGGTCATATGAAAAATGTTGGAACTTTCTCCTAAACTTAGTGAGTGCCCACTGAAAGACCATAGCAAGTGGTAGAAGATCAAGTTTTAAATTTAAATTAAACCCATTTAATACAAATCTAGCTCTTTGAGGAATTCTTTTTGGAAGTACTGGATAGCAAACCCAAGATGTTCATATTGAGCTACCAACCCACTCTTTATACTTTTTTATTGTTTTTTTTTTAAAAAGATAGCATCTTTCTAAGTAAATTGGTCATAAAGTAGTATATTTTTTGTATTATTTTCTGTTTTTGTTCATCACAATCTAGTAATACCCAGGGACAGAGTAGTGTCATCACCCACCATCATGTGGGTATTGAAAAACACTCATCTTTCTCTTTCCTGCTTTCTACCTTTAGAGTATATTATAATTACTCAATAATTCAAAATTTTTACTTCCTTTCCTTATGTATTCATCATGCAGAAACAGAACCAATAGAATTATTAAATTAGCTCACATGGCCACAGAGGCTGAAAATTTGCACAGTGGCTGTCTACAAGCAGGACAGGGAAGTATGTAGTTTGACTCAGTGTAGGAAGCCAGAGCCTTAGAAATGTGAAGGGTGACAATGCAATCTCTAGGACAAGGCTCCTGAAGGGCTACTGCCAACAATCTCAGTATCCAAAGGTCAGAACTCTAGACTATGTACAAGGGTGGCAGCAGCAGGTGAAGAACACATGTCCATTCAGGAAGTAAGTGCTAAAGAGAATGAGAAAGAATTTCCTGTTCTTGCAATGTATTGTCCCATCTAGTCCAATTACATGGTGCTTTACCATAATCAGAACAGATCTTCCCCACTCAGTTCACTAACCTCTACACCAGTCTTCTCTGAAACACTTTTGTAAACACACTTATAGACATAACACTTTGCTAACTCTCTAGACATTACAAAATCCAGTCAACTGGACACCCAACCACACAGTGTAGCACTGTGCTGCATTCACTTAGCAAAGCTATAGCTCTAGTTAATTCTAATTCACTACTTTCTTCAGACCTATTCCCATACTGGATATGTCTGCAAACACATACACAATTGTATAATTAATTGCACTTTAAGTAAGCTTTCATTTTTTTTTCTAGTAATTACACTATATTTCTTTGTCCATTCACAAACTCAGTATCCTAGAAAATCTGTTATACATTTTCTGTTCATCCTCATTGCTGATTAAAAAAAATAGAATCTTATTTTATTAAAAGATAAAATTAAAGCACTTCAAAAGCTATTTTTACAACTCCTACAACTAAATCTACCTACACACCAGGATCTAAGGCAAAGTGTTTTGCCTCCTTTTCTGTTCCTTTAGATCAAATTCCAGTATCTCCACCTATGCAATACATCCATTCTCTCACCAGCTCTATGACAATGCTCAATAACTCTCCCATTTCTTTCCTAAGTTATCAACATTTTCTTCTTTTATTTGACCATTCTCACAATCATGCTTTATTTTCTTTGTTTTCAAAAATGATAAAAAAAATCCTCTTGATCTTTATGAAACTACTCCATTTCTGTTTGTTTCTAGAAAATTTCAATATTGCAGTTGATTCTAATTTCCCACCATCTAATCTCTCTTAAATACTTTCTAGTCATAATTCCATCCCCAGAATTCATCAAAATTCTATGTTACTAAACACACTGGTAACTTTGGTTATAGTACGTCTTGAATTATCAACACCTAACTATCATCTCATTAGGCTTGAGCACTCCATGTTCTTGTTGCTTCCATCTTCACCTTTACTCCTTCTCAATCTTTTACTGGTTCATCTTAGTCTCCTGACCTTGTTGTAGTATTGAGGTTTCTTAGGACTCAGAACTTTATTCTCTTTTCTACCTGCTCTCAATGACTTGGTTGCTCAATAACACAAATTCGAAATGCATCCACCTACTAAAAATGCTCAAACTTAAATCTTTACCTCAAAGTTTATTACTGAACATCAGATTCATAAATGTATTTGTATATGCAACATCCACTTGAATATTTACAGAAAATACCTATTTAATGTTTCATAAAATGGATACTTCCTCATCACATTTCTTCACTGATAATCTTCCACATTTCCTTTGTGACCTAATGAACTTTTGAGTTCCAGACTCATTTCTCTTTAACCCTTAAATTTATCCCCTAAATAAATAATATTTTTCTTTCTTCCTTTCTTTCTTTCTTTCTTTCTTTCCTTCTTCTTTCTCTCTCTTTTTCTTTCTTTCTTCTGTTGATCTATATCTTTCAATGAAAGGTGACTAAACACACTATAAATTTTTAAGTGAGAAGTATGGATAAAGAACTATGGTTGCCTCAAGAGAAAGCAATATGCAATTTGAACTGCCTTTTTTTTCTCATGGATTAACTTTTTCATTTGAAAGAACTACTTGGAGACAACATATGTTTATACAAACCTGAATATTTGGCAGGCTTTTACACAAAATTAAGTGAGCCTGGAACTTCAAGGAACACAACTGACAGAATTTATTGCCAATGAAAATTTTGATACTTTCCAACATAAGACTATTAGAGAGCTTGTATTCACCAACATAAGCTTGACAGTTTCCCATTACTTAAGGCTTTTCTGATGAGATCAATGATGATATATTGACTAGGATTTATTTTCATCTAATGAAATGTGTCACCATTTTTAAAAAATGGCAAAATTCTGAACTTATATTTCCCAGTATCTCATACAGTGACTCCTGGAAGATTTTAAAACTCATTCAAGAGTAAAAACTCCATTCAATGAACAAAAGAGATAGGAGGATTCTCAATGTTACTGAACATGGTCACATCAAACCTACAGTGTAGAAACTACTACTTGAATTTCAATATAATATCATAGAAGAAAATACACAATTATCCAAAAAGTCTGTTAAACATTTCTTTCATTTCATGAAAAGTAAGTTTGGAACAGAGAGTGCTTAGGAGGCACACTAACCAACTCAATCAGGAGATGATAAGTGGGTCTGGGGCTGACTTGCCCAACAAGCTAGCACTCAGACAAACAGCCACTGGACACCCAAGATTGACCTCAGTCACAGTGAGATGTGCTGTATGTATGACATACACCCTGCATTCCAAACTGAGGTTGTACAAGTTTGGCTCATGTTACAAATAAAAATATGTAATCGGTTTCCTTACTAAGATAATTATATTGACTACATGTTGCAATTACTTTATTTATTTATTTATTTATTTATTTATTTATTGGTACCAGGTATCAAACTTGGGACCTTGAGCTTGTGAGGCAGGTGCCAGAACAGCTGAGCTAAATCCCCGGCCCTGGCAATTACTTTAAACATATTAAAATATTAGATTAAATATATTAATAAAACAATTTTGCTAATTTTTATCTTTCTAAAATGTGAGTACCTGGAAATTTAAAGTTACATATTTATCAGGTACTTGCAACTTACATTCTATCAAATGCCAGTGTCTAAACTTTATGGAAACAAATGGGGAGAGAAAAATATAAATTGTTTATCAGAAAGAATTAAAATGACATAGAAATAAGATAGGTAAATCAATAACAACAGTTTTTAAAACTTTGTAATTCACCAATCACTTTTCTTTCTTTTTTACCATGCCTAGTAATTTTAATCCTTTACACAAGCAATCTCAGCAATGATATAAATTCATATTCAAAAGTACTAATTTGTAATTAAGCTATAAAGAGTTTAATGAAACAATTTTACAAGGATAATTTTATAAGTATGGTAGAGGGAACCAATGTGAATTCCTAGAAATATTTGCATTATGATCACAATGGAAAGTAACAAATAAAATCTAAGAATTTTAAACATAGAATACTAAAACAAAGAATACTAAAAAAGTTACAAAGTTTGTCAGGATCATACAGAGCAGTGGGGTGTGTTATTTTTATATTTTACCATATCCTTTACTGCTAAAACTCAAAAACAAGAAAACAAAAAATATTCCTATGCAACTTCTTTCTCCTTTTTTATCAGGACTTAGAAAAGACAATGTTGTACAAAATCTTTGATAACCCATTTTTCCAATGAAGTTAAATTCTTAATTTTAAAAATTGTTATTGCATATGTTTGGAGTACATAATGATTACATTCCTCCTGAGGAGTTGGTATATGTGTTAACCACTTCTTAACTATTTTTTCATCCTCTGCACCTTCCTGCATCACTTGATCTCTTTCCATTTTGCAAAAAATCTATCTCCCTCTTTCTTATTATTCATCTTTTATTTTGCTCTTTATTTATATTTGCATTTCTCATATAAGAGAAACTATGCAATATTTAAGCTTGTGTATCTGACACACCTTACTTAACATCATAGTATTAAGGTGTATGGTTTTGTAGACAGAATAAAGATTCATCTTCGCTTCTCGGCCTTTTGACTAAGATCAAGAGTATGTGAAGATTCATCTGTATGTTGAAGCAAAATTTAAGCATTTGCAACCAGATAGTTATAATGAATTAGGTGGAGGGAGTTCATAGTGCTGATGTCAACTGCTTGCTCATAGGTGGTATCAGATGGATCCCTGGCTTACTATAGTTTCAAACAAGACTTAATAGGCTCAACACAATGGTTTGAAAGGTTTTCTAGTTAGTAGCAAACACTTTTCATAATATTTTAGATTTTTTTTATCCTTCAAAACTCTTATTCTTAAAAAATCCAGCAACTTTTTTGAATGTTTTTCTAGTTAGTAGAAAACATTTTTCATAATATTTCAGATTTCTTATTCTTAAAAGATCCAGCAACTTTTTTGAACTTTTTTCCATGTGATAAGATTCAATAGACCTGAGTAGTTGTTGAGCTCTTCAACAGAGCTCTGTGCCCTCCTGGTTCACCACATTTCACATCTCTTAGCATTTAGGACTTTGGGCTACTTCACTTATTTGAGTTGTTTGGCTAATTGCTGAATACATTCCACTTTGGAACCCCTGACAGAGCACCTATGGATAACTACATAGAGAGAACTTGAAGACTATATGAAAGTATGTGACAACATGAAATTATTTCCTACTGTAGATTATGTTGAGATATATGTTGAGATATATACTACTGTTTATTAGAGTACAAATATATGTACAGGGCACCATGTAATTTGACTGCACATTTTTTGTATTAATGCTGGGTGATAATAAAGAATAGAAGCTCTTGAAGAGATAGCTCCAATTTCATCAGGATTAAGTTATTAAGCATTGTTAACTATAACATACCATCTGACTATATGGGAAAAATATGCCAGTTATTTTGTAACTTTCTTATTTTCAAATACAATGATAAAATGACTACTTGATTGTTTGTAGAGTTAGGTGAATTAAAACCCTAGAGTACTGAGAAAAATGCAGATGTTACATTGTTAGTGCGAAATAAATGCTATTATTTTTCTTCTATTTTCTATATAAAAATGTAACAGAAATTCAATGAACATTAAATAGAGGGCACATTCATCAAATGTCATTAAGTTGTCTTATTTCTACTCCATATGATATATATATATATATATATATATGTATCTAGCTATACAAATAGTTAATTAAAATGCTATATATGATAACCTCACAAAGTGAATTATAAGGAGCTATATATCTGATTCTCAGTCACAGTGAAGAAATTCTCTTTCAAGATTTGTAAAATCTAAAAGATGTATTTTCCACTATCTTGAATCTTATTTATCAAATTTAAAAAATAAAAATGGTTATCTCTATTGTCACACACACATACACACACAATGAGTTGAAATCGCTTAACATTTTTAATTTCTAGGTAAACTACAAACTGCCTACCATTTCCAACCTGACTCAGTTTGTCTTGAATAAGTGGAGAATATGTACATTTTTAAAAAAATCATTTCTTCTTGAATTTAAAAATGAAAAACTGCTGGTTCTGTTTACAGGAGGGAAGAGATAATAAAGTTTTGAGTTGTAGAAATTTTAGTGAGTAAAATTTAAATAAATTGTTTTTTTCTGTTTTCAGGTCTCTGTGGTCAATCAACTGGATATGCAAGTCATTGTTTCTAATGTGCCACCAACTTTAGTGGAAAAAAAGATAGAAGATCTCACAGAGTAATTCATTTCATTTACTTATATATTTATTGTCATATGATCATAATTTTAATTCAATTAAATTATTTTATTCATTGTAACATTGAGATTAAACATATTTTTAAAAATAGAATATCATATTTTTAAAGCAAAAATTACATTTGAGAGCTCATTATTCAGAATGTTTTGTTTAATGCATCAACAAAATTTCAAAATGTTAAGGGATAATATTAACATCTCTGATTTGAATATATGATTTAATTTTTCAATCCAACATTATACAGAAAATGTATTATGTCAGTAATCTATGAAGTCTAGTAAACAGATTATTTCTCATAGGGAGGTATCCAGATTGCTAGACTTAATTCATGAAAAACAAAGTTAAGATTAACTTGAAGCAATACTTTTTAATATTTTTAAAATATGCAGATTGTTCCTCTGCTTCCTGAGCAGTGTACATGTAACACAGCTAAACATGTTATCTATCGTTGACTCCAATAGACTTCTCATTATTTATAACACTATTGATGTGTCAAAGATTATTATAATATTTTTATTATTTTTCTTAACTATCCAATCTAGCCTGACATCATTTTGTGATTTATATTTGGCATTTATTTGTATTTATTGGTTTCAGGTTGACACATCTCAATTATCACTGTCAAATTACTACTCATTAGGAGAATTTCTCTACTTCTAAATTACCAGGAGCTTAAAAAGTCAGATAGCATATCTTTTCACAATTCTATGTCAAATAAAACACAATAGACAGTAATTGAAGTATAATTCATCTCGGTGTGTACTTTGCAATTGTTATTTCATATTTCACAAATTCAACCTATTAGTGTCACATGAAATGTCTTATGGGGGGAGTAACTATCAGTATCACACATGGAATGCAAGTATCTTTACATATCTGCATAAGTAAATTATTATATATGTTTAACCTCTGTCAAACTACTAGCTGATTACATCTGAAAAAATGTGGAATAAACCTGTGAGTTGCTTTACCATCACCTATAGTCATAGTCTTGCTCTGACTCTGCCATTTTTTAAAAAATGACAGTTTTTTCAAACTATTACCCTCTATACTGCTTTACTTTTCTTCAAAAGGTTAATCTTTTTCATATGTCAGTTTCCCACTAGAATATAATGTCCATGAAGACAGGGAATTTTTTGTTTACTCCTGTAATTCCAGAGATGTAGTAGGCTTTGGGTGTAGTTAATTGATTGAGCATTTTTGACCAACAAAATCATGATACTCTTTTTTATATTGAAACACATTTATGCAATAAAGTAGAAAAATCACAAAACAAAGTATAAGGTCATACGAATTTATAAGCTTGAATGACTTAACTGGTTATGATAATAATGAATGAGAAAAATTACATTAGGCTGAGATGTATCATTATTAGATACATCATTCAACATTGAATTTGAAACAAACTTTGACAAATGTAATCTTTGACACCATTGGTTGTTAAGATCTAATAAAGTTTATAAGACTGTTATAAATTAAATTCTATAAAACATCTAGGATAATGGAAATTATAAGCATCAAATGAATAATAAATATTTTATATAATTGGGATTGGCAGCTATATTAGCTTTCCTATTGTGGAGACACAATACCCAATGTTCACAATTTATGAGCCTTTTATTTTTCTTTTCTTTTTGGTACCGGAGATCAAACTCAGGTCCTTGCACTTGCGCGGCAGGTGACTGAACCACTGACCTAAATCCCTGACCACAACACTCACAATTTAAAGGAGAGGTTTAACTAAGTTCGCACTTCTGGTGAATTCAGTACATGGTTGAGGAGCTCCAAGGCAGGAACATCATGGCAAAAGTTGTGTGGTGAAGCAAAGCTACTTAGTTTCTGGCAGTCAGAAAATAGAGAAGCAATGCCAGAGAGGAATGAGAGACCAGGTATATACAAAAGCCATAGCTCCACGACCCACAAAGACACATCCAAGATCATCCTCTATTAATCTGCTCGGTGTTTCTTGATCCAATGTAGTTGACACATCAGGATTATCAGTTACAGCATCCCCAAAGTTGGAAGATTTAGTGATACCAGGTTTTCTGCACATTCATTTAGAAGAATATAGCTTTGTAATGAGGTACAGTTTATGAATGCAAATGTAGAAATGTGAATCCTATTATAGCTGTGTGACCTGTAGGCAAGATATTTAATACTTTGGGCTGCACTTTCTCATCTTGAAAATTGGAACAAAGACATCTACTTTTTGAAGATTTTGGTAGAATTAAATATGGTCCTGCTAGTGTAATAAGGGAAGGCACATGCATACCCAATTCCTTTTTCTTCCTTGTGTTCAGAAACAAAAAATATGTAAACTTTACAAAAACACATATCATAAACTTTCTGATTTTAACCTTTTCCCCCCCTTGATACTGACATTGAACCCAAGGGCACTCTATCACTCAGGTACATTGCCAGCTCTTTTAAAATTTTTATGTTTACAACTCTGTATTGTTGTATTTACATTGATGTTAAACAGAATTTCAGAAAGTTTTCGTCTTGTAGAATTGAAATTCTATATTTGTTAAACAAGAGCTCTTCTTATCCCCTTATCCTCTTCATCTGGTGGTCACCATTTTACTTCCTAAATCTATAAATTTGACTTTTTTTTGAGGTATTAGAGATTAAACCCAAGAACTTCTCATCAAGAAGGCTACATTTCCAGTGCTTTTATTTAGTTCTTCATTTGTTTGTTTGTTGCAATGCTGGAGATTGAACTGAGAGCCTTTTTCATTTTGAGCAGGATTTTGCTGAGACACAAAGTTGCCCAGACTGGGCTTGAATTTGAGATCCTCTTGCCTCACCTTCCAAGAATATTGGGATTACAGACGTTTACCACAAGGCCATGCGAATTTGACTACGCTTAATATGTTACCTAAGTGGAATCATCCAGTATGTTTTCATTTGTGATTGGCTTATTTCACTTAGCTTAATATCAGAGATTAATCTCTGGTATAGCATATGTAAGAGTTTATTCCCTTTATAAAGCCAAATGGTATTCCATTATGATTGCCTATTACATTTTATTTATCCATTCATCCTTTGATGGACATTTCAGTTTCTTCTTCACTTTGACTCTAGTAAATGACGTTGCTGAACATGAGTGTACAAGTATCTCTTGCAGTCCTTGTTTTCCATTCTTGTGGATATATATAGTCACAAATAGGGTTGCTGGATTATATGGTAGTAGTACTTTTTAAATCTTTCTGAAGGACATACATCTGTTTTATGGTAGTTGTACCATTTTACAATTACACCAACAGTTCATATTTGTCCACATTTCTGCCAAATACTTGTTTGTCATTATTGTTTTCCTTCTTTTTTGACAGTAACCATCTCAACAGGTTTAAGAGCATATTTAAGGTGGTTTCCATTTGGATTTCTCTGATGATTAGTTATGTGAGCATCTGTTCACATTCCATCGGTCCTTTATATTTCATCTATGGAGAATGTCTATTTAAACCTGAGTGTAATCTCAGTATTCTGGGAGACGGATGCAAAAGGAGGTCAGGAAACCTAGCAACTTAGCAAGAACTTGTCTCAAAAAATAAAATAAAATAAAACAAAATAAAATGAAAGAATTGAGGACATAGCTCATAAAAAAGAAGAAAAATGTCTATTTGAGTCATTTGATAATTTTAACTTGTTTGATTTTTATGGTTGCACTATAAAAGTTCTTCATATATTCTGATATTAACTCCTATCACATATGATTTGCATTATGTTTTGGTCTTTCTACTGTGGTATCCATTAATGAACAAAAGCTTTAAATTTGATGTCTCCCTATTTGTCTGATTTTCCCCTGGTTACCAGTGCTGTTGACATCATGTCCCACAAACCATCAAATACAATTATGAAACTGTCCTCATGTTCTCTTCCAGCAATGTTTTGACTTTGGACTTTACCTTTAGGTCTCTCATATATTTTGTATAGAGTATATTCTTTGGCCTATAAATATTCAGATTTCCTTCTAGCACATGTTTTAAAAATTGACCTTTTCATAACTGATTCCCCTTTGTAGGGTTTTTAAAAATCTGTGTAAGTTTAAATTTCTCCCAGAAGAAGTATATTTGATCACTTTTTAAAAATTACATAGTAGATGGAAATGGTTATGATAAGAAAGGTTGGACCTGATACCACAAAGAATCTCACCTATTCACCATGTCAGTATCTAGGTGTGACTAATGAAAATATACACATAACCCAGATAAACAGTAGAGTATCAATTTGTTAATTAAATCTAAGAATCTATTTTTCCAGTGGCCACACTAACTAACATATTCATGCAGTGTACACATTCTTAGAAGACAGGTCATTTCATCATCAAAGCCACTTTCTGCATTTCCCATGATACATCCTTATCCTATGAAGGGAAAAACTTGAACTGCATTTGATTATCACTTTTATTTTTCTGTTTAGTTAGACTCATATTTGAGACCAGAACATTGTCTAAAGTTGCCTTGTTAAGCATGAAATCAGTACAAATTGGGAGACTTGATGAAAGGAAAAAATAATGATTTGATACATCTACTTCATGGTGGGAAAGGTTCTGCAAAAGGGATAGCATAATTTGATGGTTGACAGAAGTGCCTGAACATAGAATGCTTATGTTAAATCTTAGCTACTGTAATATAATAACTTTCTGTCTACATTTTGCTGGGATGGATCTAAATGACTCTACTATGCTTTATAAATTTTATTTTTCTTATGCTTATAAAATTGACTGACTCCTCTTGGTAATGAAACACACCTCTTTCTAATTAAATTATTGTATTCCAAAAGTTCATTAAAGCTCTATGACCCCACTTCCATGAGTAACCTTACATATCTATGCTCTGAATAATTTTAGTTTGCTTTTAGAATTTATCTTTGTGTATTTCTTACTTTCAGATTCTCGAGATTAAGGCATAGGGGTAACAGCTGTGAGGAAAAGAATAGGAAAAATTTATTATAAAAACTAAGTAATTGAAAGTAAAAT